TATAAATCGAACTAAAAAGCTCGTTTAGTCGATATCCTCTAGATTCCAGATAATATAATTCGCGCGTGTACGTAAATGCATAGATGAATCATCGTTTTCTAGATGATGGTCGAGTAAGATGAACGTATTTGTGATCGATTTATCGTATTTATCGAGCAATTAATAATTCAAGTCGCGTCACTAGGGAACTGGTGTTTCCGAATGTTTGTTTATGTAAACGGTTGCTCGTCGAAACAACACAGTCGAAACTCGAACAAACTCGTTTCCGCGGGAGCTACTTTCAATGGGAAAACTGTGACCGATAAATATGTAATGCATTCGAGATTCTGTATAATATCTGGTGTAAATGAAACTTGATTCAAATAGCGTGTAGCGAGGAAGGTTTCGAGCACGGTTCAAGAGGCTCGAGGTTCAATTCGTTCAAGGAGATTAGCGCTTGAGCGTAGAACGAAACGCGGCTTTCGAAGGTTGTCGTACCGTGAAACGATGTCAGTGTGTCAGTGTCAATGGAACCGAGTCATTGGGTTTGTCGATTGCTATTCAACGGGAAGAGAGATGATTTTGCGACGATGAGAAGAAACTTGATCTTTCTGAGAAAATCCCCCTCAGACGGGCGGATTTTTAAAGTTCGATTCACTTTTTCGAAATGGGATAGATACGGATAAATTTTACGAAAACAACGAAAAATGAAAAATCTCTAATTTCTGTCTCCAATTTGTCGATTATAACCTAATAAAATTGATAATTAACGAACGATGCTTGGCGATGGCGGTAAAGAGAAAATGAAGATCGATTGCGAGATGAGCAGGGAGAAAGATAGGGTGAGAGAGGGAGGAGAGGGAGGGAGGGGAAGAGAAGCTAAAAAAGAAAGGAGGAAAGAGAGAGCAAGAGGGAAAAAGGCGTCGAATCGCCGAGAATTCGCGACCGCGCAATCCGGCATTTAGCCTTCGCCGGCTCAAAATAAACGCGACAACTCACAGATTCCCTGTGCCTCTTGCCACTCCTCTGCGCATCATGATTTCGACTCGTCTCTCTTTTACACGCGTCCATCGCTCTTTATCTCTTGTCGATCTCCTCTCCGTGCTCTCGCGCTCCTCTACTCCCCCCCCGCAACGAGTTTACGCTCCTCTTCGTCGTTCCCCCAGCACGGATACTTTCGCTGTCTCGGTCGTTTATCGGCAGAGAGTAGCTAACTAAGCTCGAATCCAATTCGCCACACGTACGGCCACGTGCGTGCAACGGTAGCAGCTCCCGTTCTACCCGTGTGTGTGAGCGCGCGCGCGCGCGCGAGCCTCCGCCGGACGCGCGTGTGCGTTACACTGTTTCGCGTGCTAGTTCGCTGCACCTATACTTCGTCCGATTTCTAAACAGCACGACGCGTGCACTTACACATCCGTAAGTAAGCGTTGCGTCGTGGAAATCGTCGGTTTTCACCGCAAGATTCCACCACGAATGCTTGCGATATATAAAACATTTTCGACGATATATTTTAATTGAGAAAATATTTGATTGAGATAGAGAGAAAGAAAAAAAAAAGAAAAAGCAGCGAAACAAAATTCATTCCACAACGTAGAGAGGAGATATTACTGCAAGGAATTTTCGACTTTTAAGAAATCTTATATTTTTACCGCGTAGTTTCCGGAATATACCGTTCGAGCGATGAAAAATGCCATTGTCGGATCCGATCATCGATAATACCGGCTCATTGAGTAAATTTAGATGAATCGATAGTTCGATTCATAAGGCGGCGATATCTGAAATAGCGTGGAACGGTTGTACGCGTATCGACGAATTAAAATATCGGTTATGACGTTGGTTTTCAAGAATAGTATAACTCGCTATGTACGGTGGTGGAAATTAGCGCGTCACCGATCGCTCGAGCTTCGTTGCTGACGTAGATCGATCCTGACCCGGCGTCTGTCCCTGTCTCCGTGTTCGTGGCTTGCGAAACGCGGGAAATCGGATGACGTTTCGTTGTCGTGCAGACTCGCCAACTGTTTATTCCAGCCTATACCCGTTGGAATTTTTGATTAACGGGAGAGAAGCTTTCTGTCGCGTTCGCGAAACGAACCGGGAAAACGGTTTTCCATTTACAGTTCATATTCGTCATCGTTACGGATACGGGTCCAGGATTTTTTAATTAAAAAAAAAACACGCTGCTTGGCCATTCCATCGATACTCTATTGATCTTCGCGTCGACACAGTGGTCATATGATGCTTCTCGATGAATACTCTCAAACGATTTTTAGCATTTATATAAATCTACCATTAATTTCGAGGAGAGCCGAGGATTCGTTCCCGACGTAATGCGCCGTATATCGATCTTTGTTCCAAAACGAGCCACCGGTACATCTCTAATGTACATTTTTAAAAATATTTCGTCTGACGACAGTTTCGTATTTTTGATTAATAGTTTATATAACTCTGTAATAACGCGGTAATTTTGTGTACGACGAGAGAAAGAAGGACGATAGATAGAAACGTCTGATTTATCGATTTTCCTTTCCGTCGATTAACCGTCGACCACCCTCTTATCTGTTTGTTCATCGCGAATCGCAGATGGCGAGGGGCCTCTTAAGAGACCCGTCCTTTCTTCCTTATCATTTCCAATGGACCGCGATTAACGCGAGTTAATTATTTCCGTGGCCGATACTCTCCTCCTATACAGGGATCGATCCTCCGTTCAAAGCGATTCGCTCGAAAAACTCGTTGGCAGATATTCGATGACGCCGTTGGAAATACAACTTGCTCCACTTTTAGAAGATCGTGTCGAATCGAAAGTAGCCATTAGTGTCGCCGCTTCGAGTATTTCAGTTACAAAAATAGAAGAGAAAAGGAACTCGATCGTTCAGCTCGTCTCGAACGGAATACCATTGTTTTCTTTTCTTTTCTTTTCTTTTCTTTTCTTTTCTTTCTTTTTTTTTTTTTTTTTTTAATATTTAATTCGTAAAATCATGGAACCACTCGGTCGAATCGATCAATCGGTGCGTTCGAAAATGATTCGAGATCGTCGATCGCGCGACTGGAAAATTTGGAATCGAGCGAATGGGAATTCTGGAGGATGGCGTATCCCCCGTCCATTTACCGAGGCGTTAATCACGAAAGCGCGCAGGCTTCGTTAGTGCGATGAACTTTGTCGGCTTTGCGACCTGTCGAACACCCGATAAAGTGCACCCCGCTCTTGCTTCTCGTTTCGATTCTCTTCCGAAATCGGCTAACGCTTTACCAATTCGAATCGTCTCGGATACGTGGATGTATAAAAGGGGAAATTCCGAATATTTCCGCTCGAGTGTCCTAATTCAAAGCAAACTAAAAGGGACGCGTAAAGTAAAACTCTTTTCGTGAAAACACTCTTTCCCAAATTATCGCAGCTATTATTTTTATCAAAACTCAAATTACATCCTTGTCCAACGATACGTTGAAAAGAATCATCATTACTTTTCTTTATCCCCCTCTTTTTCACAAAAGGAAAAATATTTTCGCTCGAAATATCTGGTGGTAAATTTTTTACTCGGAATTTTTGGGACGAGATATCTCTTATCCAAATAAAAAAAAGACACTCGATCGCGAGGAGAGGTTAATATTCCATGGAGGTGGAAAATCCTTTCGCCAAACTTATTCGTATACATCGAATGTGTCGTATCAATACCGCGGATGATACGTACACGGATATTCGTATCGGATCTTGGTCGCCGTTATAGCGGCGTGCCAGCTCGAGCATGCTCGCTTTATCAGGAAATATATATATATACCAATCGCGAAAGTATCACGTCCTCGTTCCAAGAGACGGAGAAAGAGATCGAGAGAAGTGGGAGGGGAGGAGTGCATTTTAGTAACCGGGAAATCAGTCGTATCTAAACTCGTAATAGTACACATACACGCATGCGAAGGAACGAGACGAGATTCCCCGCCATGGTAATAAATCCGTCGGCCAATGGCCCCCCCCTCCCAGTCTTGTCACTCCGACCAATCCGAAATCCATCCACGGTGGATGCGCCATCGTGCGCGTTCCCTTCGAATTTTCCACCATACGTTCTATCGTATCCGTATCGTATTCGATCGCGATCTTCGTCGGCTGTTTAACACGCTGTGCATTTCCGGGTGGAAGGGAAAAATCATCAACGTCCACCGCGGAGCGCGCGAGCCGTTGCTCGCTAATGAACGGCGGCTGCGAGGATTAGCGGGGCGGATCGATATCCGCTCCACGGAAATTAGTAATTCTTTGCCATGGGCCCCGTTCCCCGCGGACAACAGATCGAATTGGAATCGTATTGGATCAAAAAGCGATTCGTCGCGACCCAGTTTCATGGAAATCCGGCTCGAACCCTAACTCGATTTCGTACGTAACGCGAGAAGAAGAAGAGAAAGAAGGAGGGGAAGACATTTTGACCGTGATAGGATCTGATAATTCGCGGTGGCGTGTCTCGTCTGCTTGATTCGTGACGCGATCCTCCCCGGCTTGGTTGTGCCGGAAACGCGGCTAAACAGGTGTTTGCGCCAGCTGCAGCTGCTCTCTTTCTCTCTCTCTCTCTCCCTCTCTCTCTTTTTCTATTTGCGTTCCGCGCCTAGTTCCTTTTACGGTCGACGATGTATTCCTTAAAACGTGGGAGAGTTATTCCGAGAGGGTGCGTCACGTGCCGATTTCCGCTCGGAGAGAGTCTAGGATTCTTGCGATCCAGCGCGACGAATTCGTGGCCGATAACCGAGGACAACGGAAGCGAATTTTCTTTCGAAAAAGATCGATTCAAAGTGAGGTGATTATCGATTGACTCGCAAAAGAAATCCGTGGAAATTTTTTCCTCTTCCTCCGCTTAACACGCTCTTTTCATTTTCCCATCCGATAAAGAAATCGCGCAAAAACGAAATTGGCGGTAAACGCGAAGTCGATCGATTCTGTTATCGATTTATATTTCGACATGAAATCGATATATGAACAACGATAAATTCAATCGTCGAAATGGTTTGTAATAAAATAACCGAAGGAAATATTGGACTTTCAGCGTGGAACGGGACCGGCTTCGGGAGCGGGAACGACAGGCCCGCGCGGCGATGTCGGTCCAGGCCGAACAAGCGGCTGCAGGAGGTGGTCCTGACACCAGACACCATCATCATGGCCACCATAATCACGCTCACCATCACGTTAATCCTCATGCCGTCACTGCACCACTCTTCCGTGCTCCCGTCAGGGTAAGTCTTCGTTCTGATTTTTATTCTTATTCTTTTCATTCCTCGTACCGTTGATCGATCGCTCGATACTCGGAGGGGCGACGTTTTTTTCCCCTCCCACCGTGCGAGACCAGATTAAAGGATCGTTCGCACGGTTAAAGACGCGGTTTCACGTGATACGAGTTTTTTTCCACGCATAATGCGAGCTCAAGCGTGTTTAATTCGAGAAATTGGAGCGAACGGAACGCCAATATATATATATATATATATTTTTTTTTTTCGATCGTGCACGATTTGTAAGATACATATCGAATAGTTTTTACCTCGTGTCAAACGTCTCGCATGACAAATTACACATTGATTCGTCACTCGCGTTTCGATCCTGCCGACTACCTTTCGTTTGTAGTCGTTGTGTCGAGTTAATATCTCAACTGTACATCTGTACAGCGCGGAACATCGTTGAAATTAGTTTCGAATTGTTGCGATACTCGAGGTCGGGAATAAATGAAATTTAATATGAAACGTTTGCTAATATAATTGGTATACTAAATGATGATGATGACGATGATAAATGGCTATCTCGATCGTACTTTGTTTATTCTCAACTACTGAATGCCATTCTTGCGTACAATATCTACGATCTGTATATATATATATATATATATATATAATTTAATTTAAATTTCTAAGCTGATTACAAAATTAATTCTTATACGTTTTCCAAGTTCCACTTGCAAAGTCTTTTCGAAATCGACTAGCTCCGATTATTTC